GTTAGGCATTTTATTTACTATTTTGCGGATTTCGTTTGCATTTGTTTCGTGGCAAATCATATTACTTGTAATCCTGTTAGTACTGTTCCTTAGAAATGCCATTGCAGTATCAAGGTTACCGTTTACAGTGCTATAGTTGCGGTCAAAGATAACACTAAAGCTTTCCACAATTTCTTGAGGATCCTGCACTATTTTATCCTTAACCTTCAACAGTAACTCTTCCCTTACGTTAACGCGTTTTTTGTTATTATATTTATCTACAACTTGCCAAATGCCTTTTGAATGACATTTGTGAGACTCTATCTCTGACTGCACCTCCAGTTTTCGGGCATGTCTCAACACTTTTTTGTATAGCCGTATATAGTTAGACTTATAATTTAGAATAGTCTCATGAGTCTGTAAACCATTGATGTTAACCAAAACTCTTTTCATTTGACTTGCTACTTTCACACCTTTAGTAATCCACCTAAGTTTTTTGTATTTCTTAAGATTTATTCTCTTTTTTATTTTTTTGAAACATTTGTCAAATATCACTTTGAACAATTTCAAAAAGGTATTTATTCCCTGTCGCGTCCAATCTACTTCTAATAGCTTTTTTGTGAAGGCAGTTCTATTTACTTTGTTGAAAACGCGAGTTTCAATAAGTGTGAATTGTTGTTTAAAATTTAACCTATTTACTTCGTATTTTAATTCAGTGGTAATGCAAGCATGTCCATCAGATAGGCCATTATGATCTACCTCAGTATTTTCAATATATTCTGAATCAATATTTGTGAGAAAGTTATCGATACATGATTCAATTCCGTTTCTGCTAAATGTAACTTGATCCACAAGATGCCTGTAGTTATAACACTTAAGTACATTTAGAAATTCTTGTTTCTGTTTACTGTCCGTTAGCAAATTAACATTAAAATCTCCGCATATTATACTCTTCTTTTGGAAAAAATGTTGAAGGAGCATTTCAAGACTTTCAATAAACTTTTCAAAATTATTACCATTCTGATAACAGCAAATAATATTCACACTTGATTCTTCAAAATAGTCTAATTTACATACATTTTTACAATACTTTAATTCTTCTACTTGTCTACCTTCCTCTACTAATATTAAAGCACCTCCTCTTATTTTCTTCGATCTAGTGTAACTTGAACAAAGTCTATAATTTGCAAATTGTAAATATGAAATCGACATCTTGTTTAAAAAATGTTCAGTTATGCATATATAATGCTGCTTCCTACTTAATGCTTCTATATATACCTCAAGTTGATCAATCACAGTATTAATTCCACATACATTCTGATGATAAACATTCAATGAAGACGTCTTTATTGTTACACACTACTATACTCCCCGCTTGCTTTATTTCCATACAATCAAGGTATAACTCTAACTGATCCTGTATTGTACCAATGCCGCAAACATTTTGGTGAAGAATATTTAAATTGTTTGAGCCCGAGTCTATATTATTAGGAGTTTTTAAATGAGCACTATATGACTCGTGCGTGCGAAGTAAATTCGAGTTCACGTTATTTACGAAAAAACTCATCACCCGAACCCGACTCAGCACGCACTCCGTTACATACATTATTGCTGTTTACTAGTTTCCTAGAAGTAAGGCGATCTGCATTAAGTTTTACAAACATAACGGCCCTCCATATTGCCCCACACGTTTCTCTCCTATATATTTTATACAAACTACTATAAGATGCGGAAAATTCAAATAGGTTAACATGCATATAGTCCGAACACAACGACCTCACAACTGCATTCATGTCAGAAGTGTTACCATGTTTATTGTGAAAACCATCACATATTAAAACATTTGTGTGACTTAGATTTTTTACGTTTTCATGTAGTGCAGAAGCAAATGAACCAGCTGTGTGATCATTAATACCCGTTATTATCACAATATAGTCATCCTTTGAGTAATCGCCACAATCATGTTTACAAGAAGTTAGTATATGTTCCGTTGAAGCAAAAGGTTTGATTGTAGAAATTACTTTAAACCTATCACCCAACAGTCGGTCCAGCATCCTCCTCAGATCTTTTCCATTTTCATCTGCATATATTGCAACTCTGTATTTGTGCGTTTCTGTGCTGACATTTTCATTTTTACTTTTCATATGGTGATCAAATGGTCCTCTAAGGAAAGGTGCCCGAGTTTTGGGAGATGATGTAACTAGTTTATGCTGATTCCCATCAAAACTGTTTCTTCTAAGGCTATCCGATTCATTCACTGCTGAAGAAGTATTTGCTTTATTCCTGCTTTTTTGACGAAATATTGGTGACAGGTAGGTATTTGGGTGTATATCTCTAACACTCATCTCTTTGTATAGTTTTATTGTGTGCTCGTGTTTCTTCAATAATTTAATCAGCTCATTATTTTCAATACCGAGATCTTCAATAGCTTTCTCCGCTGATAACAACTCAGATTCCAGTTTTTCAATCTTCTCTTTCAGCTCAGCTATTTCATTTTCGTCCACAAGGGGGCCAGGTAAGCTTTGTCCTGATAAACACCGGGACAGGATATTTTCATCAAATGATGTGTGTCTAGGCTTAAAATTTTTTCGCCTTTGCGTTACAAACTCCAGAGTTTCATGATGAGTGTTGTAGGAAGAAGAAGCGTATGCGCGCGAGCTCCCATGAGAAGATGTGCACGAATTTGGGGGCTGCATTTTGGTAATGTCTGCTTCAATTGGCAAGTTCTCAAACGAATTTCTGGTAGGAACGTTGATTATAACATTGTCCACTTCTGTCTCTCGACCCGTTGATTCAAAAAGTACCTGATTTGGAGAGATGATCTCAGGTTGCTGTGGTGAGGGGGGCTCTGGTGTTAGAGGCTTCGGCAGCGTAGGTAGTTCTGGAGCGGCACACACAGAGGGCTGTGGTATAGGCGGCTCTGGTGTTTTAGGCTTAGGCAGCGTTGGTGGATCTTCAGACGTAAGCTCAGATAGCTGTGGTGTAGGCGGCTCTGGTGTATGAGACGTAGATGGCGTAGGTTGCGGCTTAGAGGGAATGCCAAGAGAAGACGAGGTTGACCCTTCAGCTTGCTGTAGATGAGTGTTTGTTTTTATTTGCGTATTTTTACTTGTGCCTGACGTTTTTACATAAGGTTTAGTAGGTGGAGTTGCTGATGATTTTTTCTTTGGTTGTGCCAAACAAGCTAAGCATTTCCATTTTTGCTTCTTTTCAGTACTCATTAAATTGTATATTTTTTCAGATCTATGTGCGCACTCAACATGATATGTATTTGCACATTCCGAGCATTTTAGGAAATGATTGCCTGTTACGCTCTTTGCGCATACGATGCACTTAGCGGCCATAATCAAGTTAAGAGATACTTTCTGTTTTTTAAATTTCCCGCTACTTTGTTTTCTTATAATATGGCAGCACTGTTTTTTCACGAAAGCCAAACTCTTTTTTAATTGAGCAAGCCAATTTCGCACTGGTGGGTCTACGACCAATCAGTTGTGACACCGGTTTTTTATTTTTTTCCATCACATTTCCGGTTTATGTGATACTGCATGAAACGGAATGCACTTCATCTGTCAAGTGTCAGTTGGCCAATCAGCTGATCAGTGAGAAGACAAATTTATTTGATTTGCTAGTATTTTGTTGGCTAGATCTCGTTTCTAATTCAAAAAACACTTTTAACAGTCAAATTGATGAGTACCTGGACTAGGAAAGTGTTGATATTAGTGTTCCACTGCAGTGTCTTCAATGCATACGATGATGCATCATCCGCTGTTTCACTTTGTATAAAAATATGTAAGTTACGTTAATGTTTTCACCAAAAACTTTGAATATTATTAGCCGAGGTATGTTTGTATTTCAAGCACGTTCCGTTCCGTTCTAATTCCGTTCGAAATAATTAAGTGTTTACCCTTCAAAATACTCTTCGTATCTCTCTGTCCTTATCCCCATTCGTATGGAGTTGATGTAACATGTTTGGTAATTAAAATCATGTTGCAATACGAAATTACTTAGTTTTGCCACTAGCTGCCTGCTTGACATCAATCTTTAGGCTATTGTACTTTAATTCACCGCCACCATGGTAGGCAAATATTTAGTCGAAGTATCCTTTAGGTGTCGTATGATGCCGGCTTAGAATAACATCACCCCATATCTTTCCCGTCGTAAGAAGCTACTAAAGGGGGTTGATGTGTATTGCAATTTTAGGCGACAGGCTGACATCCTTTCACTAGTGTGGATCCCTGTCTTCTAAAGTACCGTCCAATTCACGAACTTTTGCCAGACGTGGTGTGAATGGCCGTTTTTATATCCGTTTACGCTGTGCGTACCTTGCAAAGGATACAGGCGTGATATATGTATAAATATATCTCTAGGTAATGAATCTATACGTAATGTAATGAACTTTTGGAACTTTGTATTTTATTTTATTTTGGAATTTATATTATCATTATTTGAAGCTTAAATTAATATAAATTGCAATGTATACTTAACTATTGTATCTAATGACATGAAATATTTAAGAACACCCATTTTTGACTAGGGGTAAGCTTAAAACCAGCAATTTGCTGTGCGTACACCCATTTCTGCTCATGTGACTTATTTGGACTGAATTTATGACATGTTTGTAATGTGTGATGCGAAATAAATATATTTGTATTTGTATTTGTATTTGTATTTTGTATGAATCTGTCTTTGGGTAAGTAATTTGCGTCACCTTTTGCAAACACCCTAAATAGACTTAGGGAGGCAGTATTCTTAGCCGCAAACACAAGACAGGCCATAAAAACGTTTACTCGTTTACTTACTCGTAAAGTTCTTTCTGTTTAAAAACTCTGACACAGGTTCAATCCGTCAACATTGTGCCCGACATGACAAGAAACCGACTACGGTAATTTCAAAGATTTATTTTGAATTCCGTATTATTGATTTGTGGGGGTAGGTAATATCCTTCAGAAGCATTATGCATAAGCACTCTGCCAAGCGTACTAGCCAAGATACACTGGCACTATTTCTCAGGGTACGATTGAGCCGCGGTAGCCCAGTTGGTAAAGGCACCGGCAGTACTGATGCTGAAACTCGCACGTTCGAATCCTGCCCGCGGTAAAAAATTTGCATGTTCCCAAAAAGAAAAATTTTGTACGTTTGGTAATAAGATATCTTGCTAAAGCCACAAAATAGAAGTGTACAGAAGGATCACTCGACCCTATTTAGGATTTACGTGATTGTCACTTGTTACATATCCAGGGTTGCTCCTGTGAAAAATCTCAAAGTATAAGAATATCAAAACAGCAACATGTGATACAAAAACGTAATAAGTTTGATTCCGAGCTAATTTTAATCATAGAAATATGACGTTCGTGGCAACAATTTTTTTGATTACTTTAAGTTCACTCCAATAAAAGTAAGAAAGTGTCCAAATCTTCACTAGTACTGAGTGAGCGCTGTAAAGGCGCCCCGCGTGCCGTCTTCCTAATTTGTGCTATAGCACAGCAAGCTAGTAAAGAAGTAAGTAACCAACAGTGGCGAAGGGTGACACTCTAACAAAGGTAGGCTGGAGTCAAAAAAATAGTAAATGAAGGTAGATTTATGTGAGAACTCTAAATTTCTGTAAAACTTGTAAATTTCTGAAAGGGAAGTCGATAGGAATCGACATGTATGGACCCTTCGCCCCTGGTAACCAATGAATTCTTCGCACAAAGCGAGCAACAGGCGTCTGTTTTCCCGTCACAGCTTGCAGCAATACCGCACTATAAGGCACTATTTTCTAACTTTGTACGTGTGTAAGCAGAGATAATTCACGTAGCATGTACTGCGTTTAATTTCAAACCGTTTGTGTGCACCGCCTGTTTGTTTCACACAATATTGTTATAAACAGTGTGTGCTTTTGTGATAGCATTTTATAGACTAAGTTTTATAATGAAAATTGTAATTTATTAGATACTAGCGGCCCGTTAGCGATTTCCCTCGCTGCAACTCATTTTCCCGTGGGAAAGAGGCATTTTTCTTCATGTTTTGTGCATCTGAACTTTCTTCTTGAAACCTTTTATTTATTACAAAAACTGCATTAAAATCCGTTGCTTAGTTTAGGAGGAGTGTGCGAATTCCACAACAGAGGAACGCAAAAAGCGACTACATTTTATACTAAGTTTTGATTTTCATCCTGTAAAAACCAAACATGAGAAGATTAATTCGAATTTCGTTCGAAATATTTGTTTATTTACTCTTATAATAACTTAAGAAAAATGGCAGAGTGGCGTTTGATTTAATGATGATGTTCATTGAACTCCGATCCAATTCCGCAGATTTGTTTTTGATCTTTACAGGGAAAAAAGAAAGTTACAGGTTAAAGAAAATTGCCCATTTCTGGTCTAAGAAATTGTCTTGCCTTAAAACAAAAATTAAAGCAATATGTAGAATTCATTCATTCCCTCATTCTTGAAGAATAACTACGGCAATTGTTGTACAAAACAGGGAAAGTAACTTAACTGTTATAGGTCTTTGTACCGTGAGGTATTTTTACCAAAGATTTTACTGTGGTGTGAACTTTTTTTGCACTGTTTACTTAGGTATAGCTAACGATAACGATTTAAGGACGAAATACTCGATATACAGCCAAACTTCAGAACTTTTGTCTCTTCCGATACCCAACTTTAACATTCAATAACTTCAGAACTCCTGTCATAATTAAATTATTTACAGACAGTTACAAAATGTTAATTAGACTTTATAATTATTTAACTTTGGATTTGATGCGAGGCCTGCAAGTAGTGAGGCAAGCAATGGACGAACATCCCTACTAGAGTTGTGGGCATGATCCTTTGCGGTGTGGTGTCTGGCTTACCTCATCCGCTTTCGGTGAAATTATGCAAGTGTATATTATCGTAAATAATGCCAATAAGACAAATTAAGGAAACGGTGCGCAGAGCGCCTTTACAGATGGCTCATTCAGTACTGGCGACGATTTTGACGCTTACTGGCTGAAATACCTAACTGAAATCTCAGGCGAAGTCAAGGTAACTAAGAAGATAGTTGCCAGAACGTCATATTTCTTGGATTAAAATTGGCTCAGAATCATAATGACGTTCTTGTATCAGATTTTGCTGTTTTGATATTCTTCTACTTCCATTCGTCTCTATCAGCCGTCAAATCTTCGTGTACACCTTTTTGATACTAACTACTGCCAATAACGTGCTATTGAAAGTTTTGTATGCAGCTAGTGGCATTTCGCGTCAATGAGGTATTATGTCAGCGTTTTGCAAGTTAAGCTTGAACAGGCTCAAAGGCATACCTGGCTGTCATAAGCGCGGCATTACGTAACCTTTGTATGGAAGCATCGCATATTGCCATGCAGGCTGCATGTCATATTAAATTGTTCACATAATAGAACAATAGTGTCGATATTAGCACAAACTAAATCCTCTAATTATGAGGGCTCAATTAGGCTTTATAAGGAGAGAGAAACAGCATTTTAACACATCAGAAGCTAATCTTTAGTGATTTCTAATTACTTTAGGTTTATTTTTTTCGAAATCGGCCCAATGTTTCCGGAGATATAGTGTTGTAAAATTAACAACGCTTTTTCACAATTTCTGTGCCGTCGGCGATAGTATGGTTGAGGTGGAAGATATTTCGTTTTAGAAATAAGTTGGCCTTCTAAGGTTGGCCTGTTGTGTATTGTTGTTGTGTATTATGTCCTTTGTCTTTTACTGTGCACAATAAACGGTTAAATGGTTGAATTATGGCTCGTGACGTCATCATCTCGGACTCTTGTATGGAGAGATCAGATTTTTTGTTGGTATATCACAAGGCACGAATTTTACTATCGTCGGTGATGAAAGTTTGATGAAAGCATAGTTGATTTTAGAACGCGTCTATCTCTAGAAATTCTTGACCGACTTTGATGAAATAAAAACCAAATTACCTATTTAGAAAACACTTTAGTAATATAAATGTGAAAACTAGTCATTTAAATTTCTTCTCATATCTTATGCACTTTTTATTATGCGAGGATAAAATAAGAAAGGGGAACATACAACTATAGTGCCTTAGGTTGAGTCTTTAGCTTTATGAAGCTTTATTTGAGCTTTTATTTAATAGGTGGTTTATAGTCACAAAAACTTTTCAGTGGCTATCTAATATTAATGTAACTTTAATTTTACCATCAAAGTAATTATTCAGTAAACCTAATTATATGTCATCAGCAAATGTACACGTATTTCTTTTCACCAACTTTTACATTTAATATAATATTTCGAAATGTGGCGAATATTTGGTGAATTTTCCGAATATTTGGTCGAATAAAAACGTATCCTTTTCATACACATTTTGTAGTAAAATATATGAAGAATAAGAAAGAAACGGCTTCTTTTAAATTGACCGTCAATGTTCCTAACGTAAAATGTTAGAGGAGTAGCGAGCAGAGCGGTCCGGCGCGAATCAGCGAGCTTTTTGTTAGAAGTAAGGCTCCTAATTGTTTTATATGGACATCAATTTCTGCCGAACTATTCGGCCAAATATGTCGATGGCGTAGTGGATAGTACCCCTGCCTGCTATGCCAAGGGTCGTGGGTTCGATTCCTACAAAAAATCAGCTATCTAGTTACCATAGTACAAGCTTTGTTTAGTTTGGGGCTAGATGGCTTTGTTTTTAATGTCCAGGATATTTATTTATTTATTATTAATATTCGTACCTATATTATTGGATGATACCTAAGTTCGATCCAACGTATAACACGTACGCGCGATGAACACATAAAGTAATTTCTTGAATGTAATAAGATTTAAGTAACCCATTAGAAAACGTGTGCTTGATTTATAAGAACTGAGAACTAAAGCTTTTTGGGAAAAAGCTATTTAGAGAAATGAAAAAGTATTTTATTTTTCTGAATCAATTTAATTTCAATTCATTTCAACACAAGGCACGATTTATTAACTTTACTATAATCATGGACGTATAAAAGGGCGGACAGAATGCCAGTTATGTCAAAACTGAATAACCGTAATGGCGGCGGATAAACTTGTGTGAGTGAATTAGGGTTGCCATAATAGGATTTTTTTACCAATATAACACAGATATTAATACGATAATATTAAATAATTCACTTGTCCCCATACACACATGTCCACATACATACATATATATATATATTCACGCACATATACATATTCTTGAAATGAAGGAATGGTAAAAGTACCTTTCTTGGTACTGCATACACAATACAACGAAATCCTTTCTTTGTAGTATACATATCCTTGTTATCAAAATGTGTACCTACTGCAAATGACACTTTGGTGAGGAACCCATTTTTTGTTGCCATTGCAGTTCCTTCTTCTTCTTCGTGTCGATGGCAAGCTCAACCCAGTCATTTTTCCAGACTTGATTTGTTTGAGAAAATCTAATCAAAATAATTAGGATAATATTACGGAATGATTAATATAAATGAATATGAATTCATAAAACTACCCATCATCATCATCATCCTAAGCTCAAATAAACCCACCCACCCAATAATTACCCATACTTTGGGGAAATTTCTAACGCGAATATTGGCAACACCAGCCATCAGTCGATTTTGTTTCTTGACTTTTGGAGGCTAATTTAAATAATTTAAAACATGAAAATGAGTGATCAAATTATTAATTTATCTGTAAAACGTGATTCCCGAACTTTTATTCCTCCTATCACTGCAGTTTTTAGAAATTTTTACAACGCACGACATGATGTTTTGTTTTTGTTTATTTTGCAAAAGTCGGTAGGGTAGGCTGACGTTTGCGTTCAGAATGGCTGGTTTTGGTGTGAATGTGTGCGTGCGTTCTTGTACGTACAGCCAACTGGCTGACTTGGGGCTACACAGAGGTTTTATTAGCGCGACTCTGTCCGCCCTTTTATACGTCCATGACTATAATTTTATTGGAGCTTATACCTATTTCTTTGCTTCTGTAAAAAATGTACTTGAAGTGAAAGTTAAAAGAAAGATACCTACAGTTGGTTTTGCCGCAGGAAAACACGTTTTGACCCTCAAAGGAATCAAATTTGGAGGCGATCTATGGCTTTGAAATTAGACACGACTTATCATATTCATTTCGTACGTGGGTCGCAAATTG